TGAAAAGAAGTATAATAGTTCATGAGCGAATTTTGAACATTATTTACACCAGGACAAAGAATTCTTGAATCTAAAGGACATCATGGATTTCTCAAACTTTTCCAATGAAAGATATTGAGCAGTGAATCGTGGCTCCGTATAATAACAATTTTTTTGATCGTGCTAACAATAAAGTAAAATTGTTGAATTGACTATTCTAGCTCATCTTCACTATAACATGGTTAAAGACAGTATGCTATGCAAATGTTGCAAAGACGTTTGTTGACGTTGCAAGAACAAAAACTATAATTTTGGAAGCTCAAATCACTAGTCAAATTCCGTGGGGTAGAATTTATACCTGAAATTACGTAAAACAATGCATGCTTAGTGACTCTTCGGCAAATAAATGGATAACACCAATTAGGATAGCATGCAAATAATGAGGCAGTGTCTAGCGAAAGGGAAAGTCTTTAGATTCTATTCGAAATATTTATCAATCAATTGCTGATTGCTGGATTAATTGCTTGCACAAAACAGTTGGAAAACTATAACAGTATTTTCAGAACTGCTTATACAAGAACCGAACCGCTCTTGACAATGATAATATTAAAGACACTTGAGAAAATTCACCCAAGCTTAATCGTGGATTAACAAAATAAATAGATCTTTGTTCATAGAACAAGCCAGTAGCGACTATGGTATCAATGGCAAAAAATGAACCTCATCATCCTGGTGAATGAAGTTAGTATTATATTACATTTAACGAAATTGGCAATGCGAGGGATTATAGTAATACTATGTACAACATGTAAGGAACAACTCAGAAGAAATTTGAATACTATATGTTCCAATAATAATTGGAAATCGGATGTGGTGCCATCTACCCCATTTTTATGCTACCTGAATCCTACAGTAATCCTTTTGAGTTCAGATTTATACTGGGAGCTGATTGTCGTTATTCTGGACCCTTAACAATAGAATCACATAAAGTCTATCTTTTAGAAAATGATTTCATACTCTATTCTACCAAAGTGAAAGAAGCATATGAAAGAGTTTTGCAAAGGAATAAAATTTTTCTACACAACTGGCAGTGTTAATATCACTGAAATTAGAAAAAAATGTGCATAAATGTCGTTGACGTAGAAATAAAAGGCAAAACCACGCACTGAGTTGAGACACAACCTCGTCTTCAGGAATATCAGAGGATCGTTAAATAAGCTTTCGATGGGTATAAAGATCTTTATACAGCAGTAGACAATACAAAATACAAATCTGGTAGATGACTTGACATACAATAACTAAAATTTTTTGATGACATATTTTCAAACAAAAAAAGAGTAACACAAGGTGGAAAGTTCCACCCAATACTGGTAGATCTCACACTCTCCATGCTGAAATTATGCAAAAATAAACAAAATACACAATAATATACCATACAGATACGTAAACGCCCTGGTCTTCATCCATAATCTTGAAGTGTGGACATTATAAGGAGACCTAAGCTTATGAAAACACGTTGCAGATCAAGAAAACCTACTGAACTGAACTTATCGATTAGATCTTGATTTACGTATAATCAATCGAAATAAAAATACTGTTGTCCAGTACATTATTGTTAAATGTTTTATAGAAACACAATCATCGGTTACGATCACGATATTAATGGAGAAATTTAATCAGTGATCTACGTGCTAAATAAATAACACATACAGCACTTCTGTGATCTTCTACCAATGTGCCACATGCAATACTACAAACTTTTCATCCCAATTCTTATTTCAAATCCACCATCTACTTATCCTATAATCCTGTCAGTATATAGGGTGTCCCGGAATCATGGGCGCCTATTCCAAGAGATGTAGCAATGTATTTGGAGTTTATGAGCAGAGTATGACAGTGTTATATTTGCACGTTATTGTTATTGTCACTATTATACACGATATTTACACTATTGCTGACATTAAGTCAACAACAGGACAAGAGGCGACAATCAAGGACAGGCACAATGTGAAATTAGGTACCTCTTGCCCCCTCCCACGAGTTCGGATAGAGTCCGAGAGTCAGTTCTCGAACTCTCGCATGTTACACGCAAGTATCTCTCCATTTCTCTATAGATGCTCTTGAGTCTGGCTTTCAAAGAATCCAAAGTCTGATGGCAAACACGACAGGTTCCTCTACCTTTCCAATGACTTTTTCAATAAACATCGTTTTGGTGTAAAAATGGCAAAATTTGAGTGGAAGATGGCATTTCCAAGAATTCTACCCGAAAGCAACAATTTTGGTTGTTAAGGATTGCTTTTGTCGTTAGATGAGGCTTCCTTATTAAACGATGAGGCGATGCGTGTATCCACTCAAGTGAGTTAGCAACCTCCAAAATTTTTCACTACAAACTGTCTGTTGAACTCGGAAATCTAATGACATATTCGCAAATGACAGCAATAGTAACGGAGCTTCTGCTAAACAACCCGACCATCGACAACTCCGGTATACCCTGTTTCGTTACCACCCTTTTGATGGGTCGCACGAAATCATGGGCTACTCGCAAATCATCCACCGTACCCTCCAGACCTCTCGCCAACCTCTCGGATTATCATATTTACACACACCTTAACAATTTCACCGCGACTAGATTGATCAAGTGTCAGACAAGTGCTGAAATTGCCTCCAACCACTTCATTGCCTCCGAAAGCAGCGTCCAGACTCCTGTTCATTTCAAAGTTAGGCCCTCTGTACTGAACGAAAATCTAGAGTGTTTGTGCGTTGACTTTGCTTTTATCAGATCCACGATATCGTCATAGATCAATGAGAATTTGGGAACTGGTAGACAACTCCACTGAGTAAGTATATTAGGGTGTTGCATGCAAAAGAAATTTTGTTTTTTATTACCAAAATTCCCTCGTTGAGGGAGATTTTCAAGGCTTGCTGAATGCTCTTGTGAAATATTTACGCTAACTACAAAATGGTCTGTTTTCTAATAGGAATAGCCATGGTTCAGATTGAAGTTCAGACTTGTGAAGCGTAACATCACGTTACATCACGTGTCTTTTTTTCCATAAATCACTCCACGATTTCTCAGTAATATACAATCATATTTTGAAGCAGACACTGTCGCTGGTTTTCAAAGTGGAATATTCTATTAGAGCCGTGGGACCTGGACAACATTTCCGTGATAAAAGCCAACTCCACATATATTACTGCTACCACTATGTATAACACGCATTCGAATTGAATGTTTCGCGGTAGACGGCTTTTTATAGTTGTCTTTTTTATTGAATATTCATTGGCCGTAATAAAGCAAGGATGCTTCCAGAGGCGATCACAACGAATATTATTGCAGATGCTGGAGTAGACTACATTTATGTTTCTCTACAGTGATAGACCTTTGTTAAGCTGAACACGCTTTTTATAATAGATGCTAGACACTCAGGAGAAAAGAGCTTAGTAGGTTCCACTGGAACACGTTTGTATATAAGTGGGTTCTGAAATCTGATTCGAAATGGACTGCAGATTTGAGGAGTATCACAGCTTCCTTAGACGCAAGATGAGCGCAGTCGCTTGATTGACGGTGCCTTCCTCCTTACTAAGCCGCTACTAGAAAGCTGATAGCTGCGTTGGCGAGACCACGAATTTACTAGTTATGGATGTGCAAGCCTGACCTATAAACACTCCATACCTGATGTATTTGGCATCCTTCTCCTTCTTGTCGCAGCACATCAAGGAGACCTAGTCAAGAAGGCGAGTTGTTCATATAAATGCATAGTACAATAAACACACAGTATGCTCATTTGTTTCATCGAAATGCAATCAGAAAATAATTGTTGTCAGCGCTGACTACTGAGAGGTTGACTCACATTATACATTAGGTTGATGCATAATTATTGCGAATTTTTTTCAACAAATTTTATTTGGAAAAACGATAGAAGTATACAACGAAGTTATGCTCAAATAGTAGCTCCGGAACGCATCTACCATCGATGTCAAAACTGCTTCCCATTTGCAAGGCAGTCGTGTTCCTTAGGAGAAAAAGTTTCAATGCTTGGAGGCTATCCACGCCTTGACATCAGCCATCGCAGCATCCACTTTGTCGTAACTTCTGTTCGCAAGCCAATTTTTCAATGAATGGTTGAAATGATGGTCTATAGGAGTTCCTGTCGGTGAATATGACGGATTCAGAAGCGAATCCCATTTTTTACTTGGCTTCGTCTGACTGTTCCATTGCCGAAAAGTTGTTGAGATCGCGGAATGACGGCGCCAGCTTCCAACCTTTCTCGAAACAGTAAAGCATAATGTGACGAATATGAAGATGGCATTCTAGACATATTTCTGTTAAGGAAAGCAAGAAGATTATTTTTTTATCAAATCTCCAACTTGATATTCAAATTGTGTCGATAGAAAAGTAGCCGCGAAAAAATTCGCAGTAATTATGCATCAACCTAATACTAAATATAAAGCACTGAGCCTGTCCATACGTCTATTTGTGAGTGTGTATTCTATGTACAGCAGAGCATGAAGCTCTCCCACGGAAGTAGAGGAAGTAAGAATGGCGATTTTCGGGCTGAGAGTTGGTAATCGAGAGTGTGTGATCATGTCTTCAGCCTCACGACGCCATTCCACGAAGATTCACTTCAGGTATCTTTACGCAGATTCTATTGGAATAAACCGTGTCCCAGGATCCTTGATCTTCCCAAACATATTACTGTTTTCCCGTATCGCTGCGGTCATATCAGCTTTGTTGACTAGATTAACGACAGTTTGCAAAGCGTTAATTAAAACTGGTAGACACCTTCTATTTTCTAGCTTTACTCAAGGTGGTATTTGAAACTGCCGCACTGTAGCAGACGACGATTCATATCCTAGAAAAAGTGTATTGTTAGCGCTAAGTTGCAAGAGTGTAGATTTTGAGGGGTTGAACGGCCGTAGAATTTCGTCATATAGAAGCGGATTACTCTTAATAAATATTGACATGTATTTGATGAACCTTTTCGAACTTTTTTTCCTGTGAGACATAATTTCAGTATACATCAAACGTTGTTCCAAATCATATGCCAACCAAAGAATTGCAGTGATCCATCGGTAATGAAGCGCATCGTCATCCTGTTTCCAGTCGTCTGCACAGTGTTTGTCGCCAAGTTGGCACCTGAGAAGCTGAAATATTCAGTGTGACCCTGGCCTACATCCACTTCAAGCGAATGTGCGATTTCAGGATCGCGAGAGTAATCCTTGACGATACTATTGCTGACCTGTGGGGGAGTTGCCACATGGTCAAACGATAACTTTGGGAGGGCACTGTACTCAGCGAAACAATTGTAGGCAGCGATAGACCATTAGCTCCCAGAAGTGGCTCATCGTAAGAGCGTTGTCTTCCAACAGGATAACTCCAGACCACACGTGTTTATGGTCACACGTCAAAAATTGGTGGAATTTGGGTGGGATGTCTTACCACACCCACCATATAGTCTAGACATATATAGCTCGATGAGACTACCACTTCTTCAGGTTTCTGCGAAATCTTTTGACTGGAAAATTGCTCAGTCTACCAAAGGACTGCAAAAAGCGCCTGAGATGGTTTTTCGATTCTGAGTCTAGAACCTCCTATGAAAACGGAGTAGTGAAACTGACAAAAAAGTGCGAACCGTTACTGAACGGAATGGACGACATGTCGTTCAATAAATAGATTTGATTTCTAGAAATTTCCTTCGAAGACGACTCAAAAATCGGCGATGACTTTCCGGACAACCCAGTACTTAAGTGTGAACCCATATAATCAAATAGCGTTTTTGGTCTGTGCGCCAGTCAGCATTAACACAATAGTTGTCTTCCACAATGTCTCGGAATCACATGCTTTACACATTTCATACGATAGATATTGATATAGGCTTGCTGGGATAGATGGTGAGTATTCTACAAAGGGTCAGCCCAGGAATACGAGGATAAAATGAACATGCGCCCCTACTGTAATCTGGCAGTTGATTCGCAACAATTCAATATTTGGGACCGAAAAAGAATTCGGCCTCAGCTAAAGTGAAAAAAACAATACACATACCCATAATTCCTTCACATTGGTAGTTATTAAAAATGGAGAAGAGGCTCACTTTGCGAGAAGTTTCGACTGTATATCTCCGCCATCGTAGATTTCCAAGTAATCGTAATTCAACTCAGTTCTGAATGCGTCAAACATAGCAAATATCTGAAATGATAAGTACGTGACGAAAGTTGCTCGAGCAGATAAGGGAGAAGAAGAGTTAGGCCATGCTTATCAAAAAAACTAGGATCGATCTGAGACTCAAATCATCTTCCAGATAAGTTGAATATCAAGTCTAAATGTAAGAATAAGCTTGCTGAACGAAGACCAACCCTACCGATGAGTTTCCGTCACTGTTGATGAGATACATTTGCTCCAAAAAAGGACCATAGTTATTGGGGTAGTTGGGAGAGCTCATCTCACCACTCGTGCCGTTTTGTACGATTGGGGATGATTTCACCCTGAAAAAAGTTGGGCTTTAGAGAAGTAGGAAGTGAATGACGAAAGCAGTTGGTAGTATCATTGTTTTCAACTCGAGCATCGACCGTTTGATCACTTTTTTCACTACTGCTTGACTTCGTTTTGGCATCTGAGTGAAATATCATGCGCATATGGATGGCCAGAGGAATCGGGCCCAGCATGTCAGCTGAGTTTGCCACACCCGCAAATTTAACACAATTCACGATAGGAAGGTTTTCTCGATATTATATCCTAGGATAAGTCTGGGACACTCGAATATGCTATATCTGGGGCTTCTGGGGCTCTCAAATGTGCTATATCTGGAGCTCTTGGATTGAAAGACTCGCTCTATGGAGCGTAGTAGGGGCTAAAAGATCCGAAAAAGCATGGCTTGAAAACCCTCAGAGGTGACTGTTCCGAAGACCTTCAGGAGGCTGCACTACCTCAATTGAACACACATGTAGAAAAATCAAGCAACTACCCGTGACCCATGGCTCCAGTGGAGGGCAACTTTTGACATTTTTGGCATACTATACCTAGCTCTAGGTAATAGCACGCAACTGCCGTCATACCCTTTCATGAAAATTCTGACGCAGTAGTTTTAAACACGACTTTTTTGAAGACCTCGGTGACCAACCCTTGATTGTAATTAGTACTTTTTCAAGACTCATATCTTTCTGAGTCTTTCTAAGTAGTAAAAGAAAATATCGGCCAATGTAGTAAAAGCAGCGTATTGAGACTACTACGAGGGCTGCCTTTTATTAGGTTGTTCGGAAAGGAATGCGCGTTGACTTTGTCCATTCATTTCTCCACTACTAGAAGAGATTTCTTAAAACAGTTTTGTCTATCAGAAAGAGATTTTCATTGCGTATCTTTTGATATATTTTTGGCTATGTCTACTTTGTTTTTTCGAGGAAAAAAAAGCTTAAAAGGTGCTTGACCAAAAATTCCTTTTGC